AAAGATGGTCCCTTTAAGTTTGCTTAAACTAATGTTTGATGAATTAGAGGCTAAATTTGCAATTTCGGAAAAAAATGAAAGAAAGACTAGATAAAATGGGCAGTTATATGAAACAAATAGCTGGAGAGATGAAACAAATCACTGGGAAAATGAAGCAGGTTACTGAAAGAATGGAAACATTGGAGAATAAAGCAGAAACCAGAGATCTTGAGTTGGAGAAAAGACTGGATAATGTGGCTTTGCTGGAGTTCAGGGAGAAGGAATTCTGCCTGAGATTCAGAGCTATTCCAGAAATTCCAGGGGAAGATATTAGAAGAAGGGTGGTTCAAGTGTTGGCAGAATTTTTTAATTGGGAGGAGGAAAAAGTTGAAGATGAGATTGATAAGGTGTATTGGGTAATTTCACACTATGCAGCAATAAGACATCTACCAAGGGACGTATTAGTACATTTGCAAAGAAAACGACCAGGGATCAAGTTCTGCAATGGCGTTTTAATACTAGATTGAAGATTGACAATGTGGATATAATTATACTATAAATTACATTAAAAGAAATTCCCATCAGAACTTTATGTAAGAGAAAGGGTTTTGTTTTGTTTTTGACAGAGGTATTGAAACTGAAGAATTTGTTCCATTGGGATAAATTGGAGGGAGTGATTTTTACTTTCCAACAGAAAAGATTTCAAGTGAATTCAGTTCATAAAACCAAAGAATTTCTGGAAAAATTCAAAGGAGACCTGGAAGAGATGCAAATGAAGGAGGACGAGCAGACAATCTCAAAAGCCAAACAGGTCCAGGAGGAAGATGAAAAAGAGGACTCTGAATTGGGTGCCACAGGTACAGACTTTTCTAAATTACTGACTTAATTATGGATTACAAATAGCAAACATGGAATATTAATGGAGCAAATGCTCCACAAAAGAAAAGAAAAGTGTTTCACCATTTAAAATAACTTAAGATGTAATTTGCTTACAAGAGATTTATATTAGAGAAAAGGACATAAAATATTTGATTTGCAAGAATTTGGGACAAGAATTTATTTTGGCAGGTCCAAAAAAGTTAATGGAGTTGTGTTATATGTTACCCACAATTAAAACTAAAATAAGTATCAGCTGATGAACATGGTATATTTGTTGGAGTAGAAGTCAAATTACAGGGAATTAAATCATTAATCTTGGAACTTTATGCTCCAAATGAAGATAAAGAAAACATTTTTAAATATCTTATGGAAAAACTAATACATTTTTCTTATGCAAATAGGTGCCTGATTGGAGATTGGAATGGAGTGATATACCCCCACTTGGATAAAATATCAGAGAAGGAAGTTAAAAAGAATCAGGGTAAATTACCTAAGACAATTTTGATTTGATGGGCAATTTTTCTTTAGTGGATATATGGAGAAAGAAAAATGCTAACTCTAAAGAATATACCTATTTTTCAGAAAGACACAGATCATTCTTAAGGGTAGATATGATCTGGAGTTCAAAGACTTTGGCTGTTAATACTTCTAAAGGAGAGATTTTACCAAAGACTTTCTCTGATCATAACACAGTGAGTTGGACTTTTAAAAGAAAATCTAATTCATTCAGATGGAGATTAAATGAAATGTTGTTGCAAAAGGAAGAGATAGAGAAAGATTGTAAAAAAAATTAATAGAATTTTTTTGAGAATAATCTAAATAAAGGTACAGACTTGAGAATAGTTTCGGATGCAAGCAAAGCTTTTATTAGAGGGTATTTCATATAGTATAACACTGAGTTCAAAAAGAGGAATCAAGAGAAAATGCAAGCTATTTTGAAGGAGATAAAGAAGAAAGAGGAGGAATTAAAGTTAACACCAGGAATTGTTAATTAAAGTTAACACTGGAATTGAGTCATGGCAACTGGACTTCTTTTCTTTTTTGGTAGAGACATTTTGCTACTTGTCCAA